AAAATACAGTTTTGGCTTGCGACGAAAAAAAAAAAAGATGATTATTGCACGAGCTGATGTCGGACGTTGCATATCGCGTTACAGTACTTCATTTGGCAGAACCGCACCCTCCTTCATATTCTCTGCTCTGGGTGACTCCGTAGGTGTTTGAAATAATACCAGTGGGTTTCGGAATATTGCCTGAGAGTTTTGGAGCTTGAGCAGAAAATAGATTGGACTGACATGATGTTTTTTTTCACTGTATGGCACGAACGAATGAAGCTAACTGCATGTGAGGATAAGATGAATTTACCTGGTTACAAGAATTGACTCAAAAAGAATTTACGTTTTGCAAGGAAAAGAAGGGGTTTGAAAAATAACGTATATTTTTTGCATTTAAACTGTTTCTGACCGAACATTTCTGTCTCTGTTTTTACGTTTGTCGATCTTCAACCTCGACCTATTCTTTGCTCTTGGCATTACGTTGGTGTGATGAGCACGTCATAAAATTTGAAGGTCACATTTTCTCACTTTGAAAGGTTTTCTCGACGTACCTGAAGAACACTTCCGGGCCATGAAAATTCGGAATGTACTCCAGTGATATACAACGCATTATTCACCGAAACAGAAAATAAGAACTTATTTGAGGTACACTTTATCACGGCACATGAAGGAAGGAATTGGCTGAGTTGAAGCATGGATGACAATTAAATTCGCAAGTTCAGCGCCCGTCCATCTTAAAAAATAAATTGTATTTACAAAGGTAAATCAGCAGATTCAGCACTGAGAAATGCCTCTCTAACCTTGGTAGCTATAAAAGGTTTGTTTTGACAAATTGGCCCCATTTTTCATCAGAGTACTTTGTGCCATTGACGTAATCATGACGATCGTGATGACGGCGAAAGATTGCTGTTGAATTATATTCTGATGGAATAGGTACTGGGTCATGCAATAGTTCTTCAGTTGGATTCCGTTCATGCTTTAAATGGGTATTTTGAATGCACGCTGGATTTGAAAACCCCAGGTGTGGGGAAATGATGTTAAGTTTCAAGAAATATTTTGAAATACTGGGTCATGCAATAGTTCTTCAGTTGGATTCCGTTCATGCTTTAAATGGGTATTTTGAATGCACGCTGGATTTGAAAACCCCAGGTGTGGGGAAATGATGTTAAGTTTCAAGAAATATTTTGAAGTCAAGAAAATGATCTTGTTTTCCTCCCATTTTCTGGGTCTTTTTGCAATCTAATTTTGCAAGGTATATTGAAATGTTGTTGAAACCTGGTAGGTTTTGCCAGCTGCAGACGTCTGGTGTCTTGAAGAATTTGCACAAGAGTCTGCACACAGCTGCCTACAGCTGCTGAGGTGCTGATTCTTACAACAAAAGGGGGAAAGGGAAAGAGGCACACTGAGGGTTCTTCCAGAATTTGGGCACCATGTCCCCTTGTCAGCAAAAAATCCCCCACAAATACTTCCCAAGTCTATTTTTTTTAAAGCACTTGGAAATAATGCATTGAAACCCTTTCTAACTCAAATATTTTTCCTCGTAAACCTGGGTACCTGGAACTTTCTGTGAGCTTTTCACAGTTATTTTTCAGACACAGGAAAGAGAGAAACAATAAAAAAAATACTGTAACTTGCTGTGTTTTAAAGGATGCTGTTGGGGAACCAGAAATTGGGCCCAGGGACATCAGGTCCCAGGACCTGGATTCTGGTTCTATTCTCCATGCATCCATTCCCTGGATGCACAAATTCTTCAATGCACATCTTTTCTGCCAATCACAAGCAAGGGAAAAAGTCCAGTACTTTGGTCAGGTCAGCTGACAGAAGCATTGTGCTAAATCTTATAAAAACCCAGCACTCTTCCACTCCCAATAATCAGTCCTTAAAATTAGCTCTTACAGTAAAATTCCTCCAAACATTCCAACCCCAATTCTTCTGATTGAATCGTTGCGTTGCATTATTGCACACTAAAATTGTGTGCACACATTCATTGTTTTTATTGAATGTGTTTTGAATTACTGCATTTATTTATTGTGATGCATTATATTTTTATTGTGTTTGATTGTGGACTGTGATTAAGCCAGACAAAACTAGGGATATGTAATTAAGGTACTCCATTAATTACATATTCCTGGCCGCAAACCGGCTGATTGCCCTGCCTTATTATTTCCCACCTTTTCTTCCACAGCGCTATGGTTCAAGTCTTTATGTTGAGTTGATTTATTCCTCAACAGAAGCTAAAGTCTAATTGGGCAAATGATACCTTGCCTCCAATAGTTCAGCATCCTGTCAACTCATTCAAGAAGTTCAGTAATTCAAGGCCCAGAATATTCACCACATTCAATTTCCTGCAAATCTTCTATATGTTTCCCCCAACAAAAAATAGCTCTCAAGCATCTCAAATTAATTTTTTGTTCTTGTATGGTCCCTCGAAATTGCGAACTATAGAGTGTTTTGACTGCATTCGAGTACTCCATAAATATATATTTGAAGATCAGTAATTGATCATGGTGCAAACCTGATGGCTAAAACATTTTCGCAATTCGGATCCACGCCGTATAATCATGCGCCAAAATGTCTGGACATATCCAACAAGCATCTATGAATAACTAAAATAAAATAAAACGAGCCCCGAGGCGATGACTCGCTGCAGCAATACGGTACGATGAGTGACGCGTATTACGATCGCGGGCGACTTCAAATCCCTTGTCACCGGTGCGACGTAAATGGCGGCGATGAGACACGGAGAAGAAAAGTGGCGGCACGCAATCGCAAACTAATCATCATTGCATGCTCGGCTCGTCGACGTGAATAATGCCCACACTGGAGTCAATCCGATTTCTTTTCCCCCTCCCTCACACGACACGACGTAATTGACCCCGGGGTCGGTTATTTCGTTTCCGATCGCCACTTGGACATGATCTTGACTTGTTGGCTTTCGCAACTGCTCCACCGACTGCATGACCTTAGACTGCGTCTCGGTATGAGCTCTGACCTTTTATTCCAAAACCCCACCACCACCACTATCACCTTGTTTGCCATCTGCTGAGCAGTTTCCTGTCGCTTCCCCCCCCCCCCCCCATTTCAACCCCACAATGATGTTTGCCTACGAAAAAAAAAAAAAAAACCCTGGTACCTCACCGTTCGAAACTTTCCTCTCTGATTACAATAACGTTGCTCTCACAAAATCTCGTCTTTTGAACGCTTGAAAAATCGAATTTAAATTATTTTTTTCGAAAGATGTACTTTTTATGCTCCTGGAAACTGATGATGAATTGTAGTTAAGTTTATAACGTGTGTCGATTGGGTTTAGCATATGTTTGCGATTATCAAGGATATAATGTACAGTACTTACGTTATTTACAAAGATTTTGGAATACAATATCATCATCTCATTCATGAAAAAATACGGTACCCGCACGTTTTTACGAAGTTTGCTACGCATTCAGAAACAATTTCGGGGAAAAGTACTTCATCTTGGGACCAATTTTCGAAATTTGCGAGAGAAAAAATAGTCTGCGGAGGAGCGATTTTAATTGAAAATATTTATTCATATCATGGGTTCATGATTAATGAAAAAATAATAATGCGATGTAAATATGAATTTAAAGAACTTGAGTTTACTTTGATCATCAAGAACATTTCCCGGGAAAATCTAGGCTTCAAATCCAACTGGCTTTTTTTTTAAAGATTCGAATGAAATTAATTTACATCGTGAGGAATCATGAATGCAAATTCTTTTAGATGTATATAGAATTTTATTTTGAAAACGTGCTGATACACATTCGACCGTATTCGCAGGCTTCTCTTCTTAAATCCAATGATGAATGTCGTCTGGAAAAAAATTTGTAACTCTGAGAAAGTTTGAAGAATTCAATGATAACCACGTGTTTCAGGCACTTGACGATTGCTCAAAATGGCGCTTTATTCTATACACATCGGTTTTTTTTTCGGATTCGACAATGGCCGACGGAACAAACGATGAGACAAGCCAAAAATAGTTTTGCGTAAAGCTCGGACGTTTTTGAAACACACACAAAAAAAAACTTGTTCAATCTCACGGTCAGTGACGATAGTTTCTACCCTGACAAGGAAGACAGTGTCAAATAAATTACACTCGCCCTTGCGTTGAAATTCGCCCTTTTAGAAACAAATCTTTGAAAAATGTTCGTAGATCGACGAGCGGAAGAAACATATCTATAGCAATGATCACGTTTCAAACACATTTGACACACCCAGAATAGTTTCGATACCGACAGAAACTATATGCGGGACAATTGAAAAAGAAGAAAAAAAAAACCTGTCTTCGCGATATTTTTCTTCCGAAAAATATCCTGACAACAACGGAAATGAAATATTCAGAAGACGCTGCTTCGATTTTTGCTACCCGGAAAGAAAAATGAATATAAGCGCTTTCCCTGAAATAAACATGCTTTCTGGGTATAAAAATTTCTCGTAAAAAATGAAACAAAAATATCGCATCAATCTGCAGAAATCAAAAGATTCTGCCGAAGAGCCAACATCTCTATATATATGAACCGGAAAAGATCCTCGAAGAATTTTTGCGCCAAAAAAAAAGCATTCGGTTTGGAATTGATGATCTGCTGGAATTTAGACTCATTGATAGATTGGAAAAAAGTTTGCATCCTTCGAATTCTTTTCTTCAAAAATGAGAAAAAAAGTTCGATTTCGTGAGCAGGGATCGATTGAATAAACGGTATATATACGTGCATGTCCATTAATACTTGGGTTCTTTGGCAGGTTCGCGGCTACATAGAAAACATATAAAGCTGAGGTCCAAAATACCTATACTGTATATAGTGATGCTTGGATGTGAGAAGAAAAAAAAAAGTAACACGAAAATTCAAAAAAAATCTAAATAAAAATAAATAAAAATCCTGAATAAATAGGCAACTAACCCTGGCCTCATCTACAGCATATCCGACGTTTATAAAGACCGTTTTTCGATCATATACACTTTACTGTACTATGTACTGATGCTGATGTATACTCATCAGTCATCAGTAAGCCGGGGCCGGGTATGCGTATCTCGGGGCTGGTGCATACACGGGTTTGTGGTACGACGGCGCCGGGACGTAGGCGGGCTTGTGATGTTCGGGGTACTCGGGTTCGTACGCGGGTTTCGGCGCGTAGGACACGGGCTTGTAGGCGGGTTTCGGGGCATAGGCGGGCTTGTAGGCCGGGGCCGGGGCGTAGGCGGGCTTGGGTGCGTAGCTGGCAGCGGGCTTGTAGGCGTCGTAGGTGGCAGCAGCAGGCTTGTAGGAGTCGTAGCGGGCCTCGCCTTCGTAGTTGACGTAGGCGTTGAACCCGTTCTCGTCAGCGGTGTAGGTGACGGTCTGGTAGCGGCCGTCGGGCAGGAGGGTCTTGTACTCGCCCTTGGTGTCGTAGCCGTCGCGGTATTCCACGTGGCGGTAGTCGTTGCCGGTGTAGTCGTCCTTCACGTCGTAGGCGTAGTTGTACTGCGGGTGCTGCTGCAAAAATGGGAATGGGACGAAGAAACGAGCCAATTATGTATATACAGCTACAGTAGTACACGTATATGCAGTAAAATCTCGTTGCAACGAATAAGCTATTGAAAAAAAGTCGTGTTTTTTTCAGGCCCCTGTCCCGTGAAAAAACAATCTTGAATAATGATGAGTTAATGGCATACAATAAATTTTTGTGTGTAATCGCAGATATTTTTTACTCATCTCTGTGACTTTGCTGTAGCAAAGTTTTACTGGTAGCTATATATACAGTACAAATATACTGTTCAGTTGAACCTCTTCAAGTCAAACTGAAAATAAATTGAGCAGAGGAGTTTTCAAGCTTGAGAAAGAAGCATTTTTGCTGTGGGAAACGTACAAAAAGTTCATCTTCCGGCCTAAGATTGCTTTTTAAAATGAGTTTACAGAATAATATATGCTGAACTTGTAGGCAGGGGTTCATTTGCTCAATTAGTCTTTCAATTCCTTTCAAAACACTTACAGTTACTTTCTATATTGCTTATCTCATGTTTCCTGTGTCAAGAAATAATTGACAAAAGGCTTCAGAAATTTGGAGTCATATGGAGATTTGAGAGGAAAAGTCTTCAAGTCTGAGATTTTTTCATGCAGTGTTTCTGAGGGAATTCTGAAGGGGATTTGGAAAAAAAAATCGAATTAAACAGGGATTCAACTTTGGTAGGTTTGAGATAAAAAGGTTCAACTGTATATATTTTTTCACTTCTCGAGAGATTCACAGAGGAAGAAAGGGAAAGACCCATTTGTATGCAGTTTCTCTTCATATACAGTACCTGTATATATGGTAAATTATTTTTGATAGACAGAAATGTGTTGAATCGATGTTTGCTTGGGGACATGCGAGAAAATTTTCTGAACGTTATTGTGAGCGCTGACAAGTGAGAAATGAAACCTGTATGTGCTAATAAATTAGAAAAAGAACATCATGGTTCCAACTTATTTGCAAATAAGTAAAATGCAGATCTTTAAAATAGTGTCCTTTTTCAAATCCCACACAGGCTGATCGAAATTCAACCCTCCGCGAAATTAAAAATTTAGTTGCACACGTTTCTGAGAAATGATCAAAATGCAACTTGCTGCATGCGACTCTTAGGAATGCATTTTCAGTTGAGAATTTTTTCAAGCCTTCCCAGTCAAACAGCTTCTAAGATAACAGCGTTCAAATGTTTTTGCTAAAAGTTTTCTTGATAAAAAAAACTGTCGAACAATATGAAAAAAACCATTTATGAACAATTAAACAGTAAATCGTTTGTGAATCTAATGCGTGTATGGAATACATCTTTAAGATATTTTTCTCCGACTGTCAATTCGGCTTTATACGTTGAAAAGTGCCTCGGGCGAGCCTAACCTCGATCGTCATAGTACACACCGACTAATGAAGATCTAATAACGTTCCTGCGATGTTTCGAAAAGAAAAACGTTCACATATTTTTTTTTATTGAACGTTAAATTCCTCAAAAGAAATGACTTCTTAGCACTTAAAATCACGTATATCAGAGTCAGAACATGTTTCTTCTATTGGGTTATCATTTGGTTCAGACCAAGATGATCTGCTTACTTTAAAATAAAGAAAAAATCCATTTATGAAATGACGGTTTGTCCTGCAACCAGTTTACCTTTAAATTCCGTCGAAATAAGTTTTCGAACTCGATCGAATCTCATGAAAAGGAAGATCGTACATATGTAGATCGTCACGAACAGGTTCATGTCCCCAGTTTCAAATTCTATCCAACGAAAATGCCTGATTGTAGCAAATTTAATGCAAGAGGATGCGTTTTTTTTGTAGCAGTGCAACGAATTATGTTTCTTTTATTCCCCCGCGTCTCGAAGTCGACGAAGTCCACCACCTTTTCGACGATTTTTAAGATGTTGTCATCTCGAATGTCGTCAATTTTTTATAAGGTATTTGAAAACTTTTAATCGTAAAATAATAAAAATAAAATTCCCAAAATACGTAAAAATCAATTCTTCTAAAAAAAAAATCAACTCTTCTAATAAAAAGATGTCCGGCTGATATTGGAACATCCCACAACTGCTCCAATTAATTCCCTTTCATATTCTCATTTCCTTATACAGTTCCAGCTAGATAAATTTTGATTTTCGCAATAAAAAAGAAAGACAGTTTGCGTCGGGCCTGTGAAACTCACGTCGCTGTACTCCTCAGCACCGTAGGGGGCAGCGTGCTTGCCATAAGAAGGACGAGGGTAGGACGACGGCGCCGGTTTGTAGGCGGGGGCGTATGACGAAAAAATGCCACCCAGCAGGGAATTTTTTCTTCTTCAGTAAAAGGTTTTGGTGGAAAGATAACGAACTTGATATTTTTCCAGACTTTGACTCTCCTGACCTGACCAAGATTTCTTTTATTTCAAATGTTCCATGGAACCAAATTTTGCGAATACTGTATTTCCCAGCTCTGCTGCAGAAGCTTTATGGTTAAGATTCTGTGTGGTTTTCTTCTGCACAGCTATTTTCTGCATATTGAAGTTTAAAAAAGCCATTACATATTTTGGGGGCTTTATTCATAATTCTTGATCAGCACCAAGAGAACCAATTATGAGTGCGGAAACATAATCCAGCAAAAATTCCAGCTTGTTTCTAACTTGATACTTCAGTGAACTTGGAAAAAGTATCTTGCAAAACTGCGAAAATCTACCGGAAAACGAAGTTATCACGGACGGGATACATTTTGAATAAGTCAGACTTTTTCAGGTGCCCAGACTCTCCAATAAAATTGAATTCGGGCAATTGTATGTTCATCACAGAGCTTCACATAGTTGAGGGTGTGTGTTACGGTATATCCTTTTTAAAATTACATGCAAGTTAGCATCCACTGTACGTCCTTGAGAAACTCCAATAAAATTGAATTCGGGCAATTGTATGTTCATCACAGAGCTTCACATAGTTGAGGGTGTGTGTTACGGTATATCCTTTTTAAAATTACATGCAAGTTAGCATCCACTGTACGTCCTTGAGAAGACGGGATCCAGAAATAAAGCAAAATGAGCACATGACTAATTTTGAGAAATTCCTGGAAAATGTGGGCAGAAGAAAAGATATTTGAGCTTCTGTATAGGAGCTTGAATTGAAGAAGAATATGTCTTCTATCACTAATGTACGAATATTTACAATGGAAAAATAATTGGCACCTAATCAAAAAAATTTCCATAATACTATAAATATGACACTAGTGACAAAAATTTTGGAACTGAGAATTTATCTGGGCATCTTTATTCAAAAAATTCGACGGCGCAGTTTGTATGCGATGAATTCCAGAAATATCATGATACGTTCATCATTAATAGCACACCGTGAAATAACAGCGTTTCATATTTTCTGGTGAAAAGCATATTGTATTCCCGTATGAGAAACACAATCTTCTCAAACTTACAGCACAGGAACATCGTATGTTGTTTCAGACCACTTTAAATTAAAAAGTTAAAAAGTCTAAGATTTTGGTGTCATTTAAGTTCCTATGTTCTCGTATTTAAGATAAAGACAAAATACTCTCTTTTAGGGGATTATTGAAGCTTGGGTACTGTACTGAGCTGTTATTCTTGTTCTGAAAGATACAGACGAAGAACACTGCAGATTGATCCTGTTCAAAGCATTGCAACAAGTTTAGAAAATATATAAAAATTGAAAAATATTTTCGAAAATCCTGGCAAATTTGATTGCGATTGACCCCATGAAAAGTTCAAAAACAGTCATGTTTTTGAAGCACGTACGAAAAATATTCAAAGTGAAGATAGAAGAATGTTTTAAGCTGCGTAATACTGTATTTCAAGAAAATTAATTTTAATGAAATAAAATGGGCGTCAAATTAGGGAAACTCGAAGCGAAACCGTCTCTTAAAACTGGCTAAAAGTTCAAGGCAATATTCAAATGACTTCAATTTTAAGCTGCGTTGAACGAATTTACTTGCTGTGTTGTAACGAGGAAAAATTGGATGCAATTACGGTGAATATTGCAGAATAAAATTTGGATTCTGGTGAATTCAAAATTAGCGTCGAAAATTGCCGTGATATTCTTAACCTAGATGCAGATTCAAGGCCTCGAAATTTTACTCGCCATGTGTTGGTTTCAGCCTCACCACTCAATGTTGGCACAATTTTTATTCATTTTTCTTTCAACGAAGGCATCTGAAGTGGAGTATGTCAACGGTTTTTCTTGAAGAAAATTTATAGTAAATTTCTTTGCCTATTCAAAATCATCGTGCCATGAAGCCTCATCGTGAAAACACGTTTTATTTGAAAAAAGAGGAGCGGGAAACTTTTAAAATTTGAAAAATTCAGATATCAATCTACCTCTTTTAAAGATATGTTTTCATTCCAAGTTCATTGCTATTTGAGATGCACACGTTTCTGTAGA